TTAAGATGAGTGGAATTCTGGGAGTTGAAGTCCACTCATCTTAAAGTGGCCAAGTTTGGACAACACTGTCCTAAAGCAATGCCAGCAAAGGTCTACAGCCTTGGGTTATTCTCACAGGATCTCTTGAGTCATCATCCATGGAGTCAGCGGCAGGAATCTGAGAGCGCTGTAAACTCTCTTCTTTTGGGAAGAGATGGTTAGAGACAAAGCCATGTGTGAACCGTTGCATCCTCTGATTTGGCCAGCTCAGTGTTCTGCATGCCAGTCTGCCTGAAACTGGTCCCCAACAAAGAGTTGGCTTATAATTCATGTGCTGGCTAGAGATGATGGGAGTCAGACTTTGGGGAGCGGGTGTCACAGGTTCTGCACTGTTTGGGAATACCACTCAGTTGCAGCCTACCCTTCTTAGTTCAAACTGGGGACGAAGGAAGTTGGGGCCCTGTGCATGGAAAGCAGGTATCCTCCAGTTGACCAGGAATTCCTTCCCATCAAACATCATGTTGGTCAAGGAATGGGAAACGGCTAAGTTAACCAAGCCTAGCTTTAATGTCTACTCTAGGTCTCTATTTTCCTGTATGGCATCTGCAGGTACCAGAGAAATCTCCAGTTTCACCGCTTCTGGTCTGTGGATGATAAACAACTGCACACCGAATTCAGCGCTCTGCGGTCTATTGTTATGGCCAATTACGAAGAGACCATCAGAATGCCCATTAATGAGCCTGCGATGGGCAAAAAGAAATCTCAGATCCAGGTACAAAAGCTGACTTTGGGGTGGTGGAAGAGGGGTGGAGGGGTGTCTGTGCTCAGGTGAGGGTGGTCAAGGGCTAATTCTAGCAGCTAGGATGCTGGGTTGCCATTCATGCTCTCCCACAGGCATCCAGTTCACCCACCGTCCGAGGGAGAGAGGGTAAATCAACATATAAAAGTCTTGCATCTCCGTCTCTTCGTTTTCTCTTTCACATACTGTACACATTTGCCTACACAAAAATACACGAGTCACAAGCTCTCCTTGCCATCAATCCTTGTTCCGTGCTGGGAGGGGAAAATCCGTTACCTCTTTGTCCTAGTCTGTCTGGCCTCTTCTCCAACCTCTTGGAAGGCTGTCAAGCAGAGATTGGGGTGGTGCTCTAGCAACAAGTGAGATGTTCAGGAGCAGAGATCTACGCAGGCTGCACTTAAGCCCTCTTGCTGCCTTCATGGGGAATACAGAATCAATGCAAGTCAGGCTTCAGGCTTCAAACCAGCATCATTACCCAAGTCAAGTCACAGTTTGGACAGGAAACATAACAAGTCAGAATGAACCAGGGGCAAGCCTTTGAGATGCTGTGATCTCACCACTCTCGGCCCGCCAGAGCTCTGCACAACAAACGCAGGAGAGAGACCTAGCGGTCGTCTTCAGTGTGAGATCTTTGCATATTGCCCACCTTGTGTTTCTTTGGCTCCGCAGGAATACGTTGACTATTACGGAGGGCCTGGAGTCCAGCACATTGCTCTGAATACCTTAGACATCATTGCTTCCGTAAGAATGTTCCTTGCTTTACAATTCTCCCCACCAAAAATGCCAACTTCTCGGAAGTGGCCAATGTTACACTCGTAAATCTTCTCTGGTTATAGATCACAAACTTGAAAGAACGTGGCATGCAGTTCATGTCTGTTCCATCAGCTTACTACCAGAAACTCCGGGAGCAGTTGAAGACGGCCAAGATCAAAGTGAAGGAAAACCTTGATAAATTAGAGGTCAGTTGGCTTCCATTATAGTGTGGCATAATGGTTAGAGTACTAATCTAAGATGTTATCATTTTATATGCTTGTTGTGAATATATGGAAGGGAGCAGGAGAATGAAGTATGCTTCTTGATGGAAGGGTGGGTACAGAAACAGTAAAAACTACTATTTACCACTCATTCATTTTGATGAGAGTCCCTTTGCTCAGAGATGTATGCGTTATCCTGGTTGGCATGTGAGTATTCGATAGCTTGACATTTGATTCCAGTAGAAGAGTTTACTCTGTTTCTGTGTCATTGGAGCTCCCAGCTCAGCCAGCCGGCACGGCCAGTGGCAAAATGAAAGAGACCAGGTTGGTTGCACCTGTTTGAGAGGCACAGGAGAATTTGGGTAGAAGAGAAAAAGTAGGTTTTAGTGCTTTAATTTTAATATGCAACCAAAATTTATAGTCGCCCAATTTTCTTTGGCAGTGTCCTTCAGCCCTCTGTCATTTTCCTTCTTTTTCAAGGAACTCAAAATCTTAGTTGACTTTGATGAGAAAGGATACCTACTTCAGATCTTCACCAAGCCCGTTCAGGACAGACCAACCGTCTTCCTTGAGGTCATTCAGCGCTACAACCACGAGGTTGGTTTCTCAGGCCAGCTTCATTCATTCAGGCGACATTGAAGAACAGCGGGTTTTGCAGATGGGCGAGGATGACATTGGGCCTCCCCTGCTGTTTCTGTTGGCTTTCCAAAAATTGGAGGCACCTTTTTGATAACCAAAAATGAGAAGTGGCCAGTGTTTGGAAGTCTTAAGGGGACTGTAACCTGAATTTGGCAATAGGATATGTTTGCTGAAGACTGCGGTTGCCTAATTGCAGAGGATGGGGAACCTCTAGCCCAGTGTTTCTCAACCTTGGGAACTTTAAGATGCGTGGACTTCAATTCCCAGAATTCCCCAGCCAGCTTAATTCTGGGAGTTGAAGTCCATGCATCTTCAAGTTGCCAAGACTACGTTCTAAAACAGGGGCATTTAATTTGAAAAGATGGATAGATATTTAATTTACTCCCCCGTCCACTTTTTTTCGGGGGGGTCTATACCTTTATGAAATGCATGACTGGATCACTGCCATTCCGGATCTGAACAGAACATCTCAGTGTAAGAGAAAAACATTATCATCTGCAGAGAGAGGTTGTGCATAACAGTTAGAAAAGGAAAGGACTCATCGCTGTTTTTCTTTTTTCCTTCCCTGGATTTAGGGATTTGGCGCGGGAAACTTCAAATCTTTGTTCGAAGCGATTGAAATAGATCAACACGCTCGGGGCAATCTCACCATCCTGACCCCCAACGGAGAGTCCGAGTCCATGTAAGGTGGAAGTTCTCAGAATGAAATGTGGTAGGAAAAGATGAGCCACCTACCTTCTGTTGATACCTCTCCATGTCTGGCCTTTTTCTTCAAATAAAAAAATGTGAGCTTCTCGTGGTGTCTGTTTTGGCGACAGCTCTTGTAGAACGGCTGGAAAAAGAACCACAGACATCATTGCTCCTGATCTCAGCTTCTTTCAGGACTGGGGAAAACAGAGCTGTTAGCTGTCCTTCTCTTGCCAGCCTAACCCATCATGGGCCATCAACAGCAGAATTTCGTACAAGAGGTGGGGAGGATGGCGCAGGCTCGCCAGCTGCCAAATGCCAGCTCAGTGGCAGATGACCCTGGCTGGTTGGTCGGCGAGCTTCATAATACAGTGTTTTCTAGAAGTTTTTCCTTATAGCCAAGGAGAACTTTCAGAATCAGGACCAACGGTTGACTGAGTTTCTGGATGGAGCGTGTAACCTTCCTGCCCTGAGTAAATGTGTCTACAACTGCTGTATCCTTTGGAGGGCTATGAGATCAATTTAGAAGGACGATAACGAAGGCCATCTGCAGGGTAGGTGGGTGTGAAGAAGGTCAAGATGGCGGCTTCGGTTGCATGGTGCGGCTGCCATTTGACTTTTTTAACCCCCTGCGGACACCCCTCCCCAATCATCGTCCAGCCACAGAGTAGAGAAGGAGGAGGTGGATTATGTCAGGCTAATAAATCAAACACAGATCTTCTATAAGAAAAGTCAGTATATTTATGGTTTGCTTTATAAAAGTTACTATAATACAATGGTACATAGTATTCAATTCACAAAAAAATATGAACAAATATTTACAGAATGACACACCCACAACAAAGCAAAAAAAAAAAAATCAAAACAAAAACCCACATTCTTCAAAACAAAGTACGAACTGATGACAGAGCCTAGATGCACAGAACAGTCCTACATTTATACAGTTGTTTAAAACAAAAGGGAACAGAATTTTTTTTAAAAATCCTAAATCTCTAAAGCAGAGATTCCTTTTCTTTCTTTCTTTCTTTTTCTTTCTTT